ACAGATTCAATGCAATCCCTATCAAAATATCGGCACAATTCTTCACAGACCTTGAAAGAACAATAATCAACCTTATATGGAGAAACAGAAGACCCAGGATAGCCAAAACAACCCTGTAAAATAAAGGAACTTGTGGAGGCATTACCATCCCTGACTTCAAGCTCTATTATAGAGCTGTAGTCCTGAAAAGAGCTTGGTATTGGCACAAAAATAGACAGGTAGACCAATGGAATCGAATTGAAAACCCTGTTATTACACTATGCACTTATGAACACTTGATTTTTGACAAAAAGCTAACATTTTGCAGTGGAAAAAAGAAAGTATCTTCAACAAATGGTGCTGGCATAAATAGATATTGGCATGCAGAAGACTGCAGATAGATCCATGTCTATCGCCATGCACAAAACTTAAGTCCAAATGGATCAAAGACCTCAACATAAATCCAGCCACACTGAACCTCTTAGAAGAAAAAGTGAGAGGTACACTTGAACAAATTGGTAGAGGAGACCACTTCCTGATTTTAACACCAATAGCACAGATACTGAGATCGACAATCAACAAATGGAACCTTCTGAAACTGAGAAACTTCTATAAGGCAAAGGACACAGTCAACAAGACAAAAGGACAGCCCACAGAATGGGAAAAGACATTCACTAATCCCATATCTGACAGAGGGCTGATCTCCAAAATTTACAAAGAACTCAAGAAGCAAGTTCCCAAAACTCCAAAGGATCCAATTAAAAAGTGGGGTACAGAAGTAAATAGAGAATTCTCAATAGAGGAATCCAAAATGGCTGAGAGACACTTGATAAAGTGCTCAATATCCTTAGCGATCATGGAACTGCAAATCAAAACAACTCTGAGATACCACCATCTCACTCCTGTCAGAATGGCTAAAACCAAAAACACCAATGACAATTTATGCTGGAGGGGATGTGGAGAGGGGGCAGAGAGGGAAACAATTCCATTGCTGGTGGGAGTGCCAACTCATACACCCACTTTGGAGTATGGAGATGCCTCAGGAAAATGGCAATCAGTCAACCACAAGACCCAGAAATTCCACTTGTTGAAGATGCCATTCATTTGCCAGAATCTTGAAGCAACCTAGATGTCCCTCAACTGAAGAGTGGATAGAGAAAATGTGGGTACATTTACACATGGAGTACTATTCAGCAGAAAAAAACAGTGGAATCTTGAAATTTGCAGGCAAACGGATAACACTAGAAGAAACCATCCTGAGTGAGGTAACCCAGTCACTAAAATACAAACATGTATGTACTCACTCATATATGGATTTTAGACATGGATTATGGGAGTGCCAGCCTACAATCTCACTGCTAGAGAGTCTGGGATACAGGAAGGACCCTAAGAGAGATATGCATGGTACCTTAGAGAAAGGGAATGAGCCAAGATCTCCTGAGAAGATTGAGAGCATAGTGGAGAGACTACTTTAAATGCCCATCCCTGACAATGAGTTTGAGACTACCTTATATGCCATCCTAGAACCTTCATCCAGTGGATGATGGAAGCAGAGGCAGAAACCCACAGCTAAACATTGAGCTGAACTGGAACCCAGTGACAGAGAGGGAAAAATGAAGAGCAAAGGGGTCAAGGCCCGGCTGGTGAAACCCACACAAACTGCTGACCTGAACAAGGGGTTGCTCATGGACCCCAGACTGCTGGCTGGGAATCCAGCATGGGACTGATCCAGACCTCTTGAATGTGGGTGTCAGTGAGGAGGCCTAGGTAATCTATGGGGCCTTGGGCAGTAGATAGTATTTATCCCTGATGTACAAATGTACTTTGGGTGTCCCTCCCATAATGAGGGATGCTCTCTCAGCCTGGACTCCTGAGGAAGGGCCTAGGCCCTGCCCTGAATGAAATGACAGACTCTGGATATCCCTATGGAGGGCCTCAGCCTCCCTGGGAAATGGAGTGAGCATTGAGTGGGGGGGCTGGGAGGGGTGTGGGGGAGGAGGGGAGGGAGAGGGAGTTGAGACTGACATGTGAAGCAAGCTTGTTGCAAACTTAAATAAAAAAAAAACTTTACGGATACATAAAGATCTATCCAGTAGACAAACAAATTACACAGTATTATTCTATATGTAAAATAGATAAACAAATGAATCCTAAGGAAATAATGCATGAGAAGAAAAGACTCTGGGCTAAGACCCTTACAGAACATCCCAACTGACTGCAATGAGATGCTTACAGTAGTCAGGGATCTTTTAGTTAGATGTATTTTAGAGTGATCAATTAACTAATTGGGTTGAAGCTAACCCATCAGCAAGTGCTGCTGCTTCTATTGTTACTAAGGTGCTGTTAAAGATGGTCTAGTTGGAAACAGAGATTCAGATAATGGAAGGCATTTTATAGCTAACATCCTCAGAGGACTCATGTTGACTCTGGGGAGTCACTGGACCTATCACACCCTTGGCACTGTCCATTCTCAGCTGGGATGCAAAGGATGAGTCAAGCTCTAAAGAATCACTTAACCAAACTCATCCTGGAGACAGGACTCCCCTGGACAAAGTGTCTCCCGGCTGTCTGCCTGAGAGCCAGAACAGCCCCATAGAAGGACTGGCTCATCTTGTGATGTGCTCTACAGGCTACCCTATTTGGACCAATCCACTGGTCATCCTACTTCAAGACCAAAGACCATTTCCTGCAGCGTTACCTGCTTAGTTTGTCTGGGTTTTATCCTCCTCCAGGAAACAGGACTTACAGGCCCAGATACCTCTGTTTGAGTGCCCAGTTAACCCATTGATTGAGTTGTAATTAAGTCTTAGAAGGAAAACAAACTTGAGTTCATCTGGGAGGGGCATATCAGGTGCCACTTACCAAGGAGACTGAGGTCCCAACTGCCTAAAGAAGGTGCAATTACTACACTCAGGTAAAGAAGTCACTCTCCTCAGAAACTCTAAACTGATTCCAATGTTGTTCCTGTGTCACACCCAGATGGCTAACTGTGCCTGGGTCTTTAGTAAAAAAGAGACCAACTCTCCCTGACTGTTAAATTTGATGCCTGTCTTGGTTTTTTTCTGTGAAAAAGCAGAGAACTTCTGCAAGTGTGCCCACCCTGGACCCTCCTATGCACCTTGCTGGATAGCCACCTGTCAACTTGACACAAGCAGCTACCTGGTTCAGAGCTATGTGGAATGTAACAGTGGTGTCTTGTCTTTTGGAGAGATGTTCAGCTGGTCATCCCTGGTGATCACAAAAGCAGGTGTCTGAGACTTCACTAGGTTGTTGGAGTAGGACCTGTACTTCCATCCAACTGGCTATTCGTTTCTGCCAGTGTCTTTCCTTCAAGAGGAGAGCATTCTTGATTTGGGGAGGCACCATCTAATCCCCATATCTCCATAAATGCTATATAAGTACCTAGGGATATCCTTAATTAATTAACTCAAGGCTCTGAACCAGGTAGTTGCTGGATTTGAGTCAGTATTGTTCTAGTTGTCCACTATCAATAGAGATGTAGTTTGGATCGATTATATTTACTGCAATCGACAATGGTTTGTCAATTACACAAGGGAAGTGGTAAAGGGAATAGCTGTACTGTGAGATTTAATCAGTAAGGTGGCTTAGAGAAATAGATTAGGTTTAGATACTGATTCTAGCAGAGAAATGCTGAGTTTTTGTAATGATGCTGTCAGCCCTAACTATACAGCTCACAGTGGAACAATCACTAAGGCCCTTCTGGGTTAGCCTGCTTTAGTCAACAAATTAGCTGAGATTTTGGGAATGGATGATTCCTTAGCTAGCCTTATGGAACAATGGTTTGGAAAATGGGGAGGAGTGGTGACTTCATTTCGAACAGGCCTTGTTATAGTCTTTAGGATTAGGATCCTGTTTGGATGTTGTATAACTCCTTGTGTTAGGGGCCCCATCTGGAAGCTCACTGGAACTGCTCTCACCTCACCAAACATCCTTAGTTGATGGCGAATGTTCTTCTGTGTATATGTTTGTCTTATTGGTTGATGGATAAAGCACTGTTGGCCAATAGGGAAGTAAAATATAGGACTAGGAGACAAGGATGATCTGGAAAGTGTGGGCAGAGAGGAGCCATCATGGGATCCCAGGAAGTGACTAGCAGGGCAGAATCAGAATATAAGCAGTGACAAACAGGAAATCAATTTCTTCTCTTCTCTGCAGACACTCTGAGCAGTTGACATGTAGGACACCAGAGGAGTAACGGGTCCCTGGACCTTTCTCCGGTAAGATAAGGCCATGAGGAAATACATAGGTTAGTAATTATGGGTTAAAAATAAGAAATCACCCAAGTCCTCAGCCAACAGATTATAACTAATATAGCATCTTCGTGTTCCTTTGGGGCAGAGAAGGGCAACGGGACCTGGCGGGGCCAGAGAAAACCTCATGTTACATTCAGTCACAGTGACTTATATTACTGGAGACTTCAGAACATGAAAACCAGAATGTGCTGACTGGATTTGAAGAAAAAAATGAAAATGTACAATAAGGAAGAAGGGGTTGTGAGAATCAGTCTTTTGTACCAAAGATGGCTAGCCTGCCAAAGGCCAGCATTCTACAAACCTCCCTGTTGGGGAAGTCCTATGTATATGTCAATAAAGCACTGTTGGCCATTATGCAAGTAAGATAGGTGGGACTAGGAGTCCAGGAGAAACACAGGAAGTCAAGATGTAACCGCCATGGGGTAGGAAGCCTGGAAAGTTCTCCGGTAAGAGAAATACTTAGATTAACAATTATGGGATAAATACTTAAGTCAGAGCTAGCCAGTAAGAAACAAGCAAGGCCAACAGCTTCATAATTAATATAGCCTCCTGTGTGTTTATTTGGGACTAATGCGGCTCTGGAACCAGGCTGGTGGGAAGGCTTCCCATTACACCTCCCCACTTCTGAAATTTTACTCTTGATTATAGATTGTGATGTTGCTCTCCCAGTATTGTGGTGAAATAATAACTAAGTGAACTTCAAACCCTGGTGTGTTTGCTCACTCAGTTTGAACTATGGAACGTAATTTTACCAAAGTCAATACTGCCTGAGTTACTTTTCCATCATTACCTATGGAGCTGCTTTTCTGTTTTTCCTGTTTACAACCTGTTACTACCTGAATTCCTCCTGTCTGAGCTTCCTGAGTGCGAGAAGTATAGGTGTGCAACTCGATCGTTTAACACTGATTCATTATTATTGACAAAGCATGGTAAGTTTTGATTCCTGTGTATAGGTGCCATTCTTTCACTTTTCCTTAAAGGTTTCAGACACACTTATTTGTGTACCTTGACAAATGTGCTACTGTGCAAGCACGTGGCACATGTTCCAGCAACTCCTCATATAACGTTCCTCTGTGCTTTTCTTGTTGTTTGTCTTTCCTATTCTGGTGGCTCAGACAACATACCTGAGTGTGGCATTTTGATGGGCTGAGCTGGAGAACAACTCAGAACCTGGTCTCTATGGCAGCTCCCTGCCTTCCCAGTCTGGAGATCACTCTGGTCCCCCTTCCTTAAAAGTGCAGACACGGACTTTTGGTGAACTTCCCTGGCTACCAACGAACAATCAACTGTCTTAAAATCTACTAACCAAGGGAAAGGACAGGGCTGAAACAACCAGCAGGCTCAGAACCCAGGGGAACCCTGCCCAAAGTCATTTTGTGTGTTTTCCAGCAATTTCTTCTAAACAGTATCTCTGCCTTACAATGCCTCTTCAAGCCCTCACCTGTCCCTTACACACACACACACACACACACTCACAGAGATACACACACTCACAGATACACACACACATACACACACACACAAAGTATTTAGGTTCAATCACTGGATTTCATCTTTGGCTGCCTCTGAAATAATAATAACTGTGTTATGATTTCTTTTGTCAGTCTGTCTTTTGTGATAGGGTATCAGCCAGGCTTCTAATATTATATTGGGAGGACTGGGTCACTTTTTTTCTTGTCTCATCTTTGTACACATCAGAATTTTATCTTGTGGGCTCCGATGTTTTATTCTACTTTTCTGTAACTATTGTGTCTATAGGTACAGTGGTAGCCTCCTCCTGGTTTAAGGTATCCAGTTCAGTTCCAGAGTTCATGTTGTCGACTCAGAGTCCTGAACAATGTAACCCAGAGGGCTGGAGCTCATGGGGTTCTACATGCAATGAGCTCTCAGGCCTAGAGAAGGCATTTGTAGCTTGTATGCCAGAGGCTAGACAAGCTGGGGTCTTTTTGGACTCTGTTATTCAGGACAGACTGACGGAGTCCCTCTCCTTCATGCTGGGCTTCTTTAGACTCAGCCCAGCCAAGCTGCAGCTCTGTTATTTGGCAGGAACATGGGTTTGCTTTTGATTAAAATGTTAAGGTGCATAGTGTTGCTTTGTTTTGAAGTGGGTTTTTTTAGAGTGGATGGTATCTTGATCAGAACTCACAAACGAACTTTCCAGAAGGTAATGTCTCTATAATCTGGCCTTGTGCTAAGCTCAACCCAGTTTCCCCAGAACAAGCTCCATGTAGAGTGCTGTCCATCACCCATTGAGGGCTTTCCCCAGAGCAACAATGTCAGGCTGAAGATAAGTGCTCAAAGGCTGGGATACTTGATTGCTTACCTTAAGAGGCATGTTTTGGTCCTGGGTGTCTTCTGCCTTGAGACTGGGAATTGCTGGTACCTATGGCCCTGATACCAGGGGTTGAAGATCCAAAATCCACCACCTGGTCAGTAAGGCCAGTGCCGGGTGGAAAGTGCTCCTGTGTGGTGTCTGGACCTAGTGTAAAGGGCTGAGCTGGGTAAGAGCTCCGCCACTGATGAACGCAGAAAAGAGGAGATGTCACTGGTGGCCCGAAGCCGGGCTGACTTTTTTTTTTTTTGATTTTCGAGACAGGGTTTCTCTGTATTGATTTGGAGGCTGTCCTGGCACTCGCTCTGTAGACCAGGCTGGCCTCGAACTCACAGAGATCAGCCTGCCTCCCGAGTGCTGGGACTAAAGGCGTGCACCACCAACGCCCAGCCGGGCTGACTTTTGAAAGGTCTGGATGCACTGCCCAGTTGGAATTCCCATTTTGTGCTCCAGATGCAGGAGGTGGGCAGCCAAGCAGGTGGGGGTTTGTCAAAGAGTACTGGTGGACAGCCGGCAATTTCTCTGTAATTTTCTAGGAAGCAAGTGACATCATTTTTGACAAATAGGTAGGACAAGCAGTGTACTGAGTAAGTCATTAAATCAATACTGAATCAGTGTCTAGTAACTGGTCTCTTCTGCCATATTCTACTTAGATTCTGGACTCAGGGACCCTGGGACACAGAGGTTGCTCTAGACCAGGTTGGTGTCTCCCTGTAACCTGGGATCCTGGGGAGCTCTGTATAGGCTGCTTCTTCCCAGGGGTCTCCTTTTTCACTGCATCTCTGCCCCAGGGTCTGCTGGATCCCATTCCTTTGGGGTTCTTTCTGCAGGGGTAGTTTCTGACTTGATGTGCTGCTGGCTGCTGGAAGCTGGGTCTTTTTCTGGGCCACATATGTGCCATGGAAGTCCCTCTGTTCCACCCAAAATCCTTCTGGAGAGGGAGGACTGTGACTTCTTGAAAGAGCGACTGAGTTACTGGACACTGGAGCATTGTGCTTTGGGAACAGAAGTCTCTCGCCTCCTACTTACTTCAGTGCGTGGAGGGCTGACACAGGACAGGGATATTTTAACGTTCAAGCCCTTGACTACCAAGCTCCTCTGTCTGTCCTGAAACAGGAAGACTAAATGGACCATAGCTTGTCTAGCCCCCCCCCCCACACACATATAAACGACAAATGCCTAGGCTGAGAGAAATGGCGACGGGTATCAGGGAGACACAGGATGGGCTCATCTGTGGGTACCTCTTTCTTCAGTCACTTCTCTAGGAGGCCAGCTCCCAGCACTGGGAAAGCCTCAGTTGCTGGTAGATTCCTGTCCACACAGGAACTGATGTAGGCCTGGAAAATCTACAGAAACTGGCTAAATCCTGGTGCCTTCAGAGCAGGTGTCCCAGACAGACTCTGGTAGGCAGCAGATGGTAACTTCTCAGAGGTGCCACGAGCCGAACACCTGCTCCCAGGGAGCCAGCTGACAGCCATGCCTTTCCCAGGCAGGCTTGGAGCACCTGTCACAGAATGATGCTCTGGCAATGTCTCCCTCCTACTCAGTAGGTGGCTTGGAGTGGGGTGACAGGGATAGCCTCTAAGTCTGTCCTCACTTTGAGCAGGTAGAAATTGAGGTGATCGCCCCCAACACACACACACACACACACACACACACACACACACACACACACACACACACACACACACACACACAGATGCACTCTCTCCATGGCTTTTGAAACTGGAAAGCTGCTGATAGGTGAATTTTTGGAACTTGAGGGCCCCTTGGTTCTTCCAAGATGCTACCAGGAGAGTTTTGGGGACAGAGTTTAACAGTCTACTGAGCTGAATGACCTCTGTGGTTCTCCCAGGATCTCTAGGAGACTGTTTAACCATCTGCTATGCTGAACTTCAGGTGGTGCAGGACAATTGACCTCTCTTCATTAAAAGCTGTGTGTTCTCCCTTAATATAGGTGACAACGGTGTGGATGGGACAATATTTGAGGCCATTGGCAGTGGGCCCAAAATTTAACTCTAATGCACAAACTGACTTAGTGGAGCCCATTCTATAGAGAGAGATACCTTGCTCAGCCTATACACAGGTGTGTGTGTGGGGGGGTGAAGACTACATAACCCTGCAATTCCACCCCAGCCCTACAGATACAAGAAAAATGAAATCACGTCCCCACAAATACTTCTACACAGATGTTTGTACTATCATCATTCATACTGGTCAAAAGACAGGACAACCTACATGCCAGTCTACTAACAAATGATAAATATGATACATCCACAAGAGAGAACTTGGATGTCAAAAGGGGTGAAGTACACTACAATGTGGCTTGGAAATTTTATACTCTAAGAACTCAGATGGCTGAGTTTATGCCAAAAAAATTGAACATTAACTACTTGAAAATATTATTATTATTATTATTTAAAAGAACATGTAACCATCCAGGCTTACTGTGCCAAAGTAATGACAACCATGTCTTGGGCTGGGCTAGCATGAACCTAAGAATGTTTGTTAGCTTAGTAGCTCAGTTAGGAGGTTGCTCAGCATGTATACTCTAGGCTGGTGGCTGGCCCTGTGAGTCCTACTCACCATTGTCCCGAGCTTGGGGTCCACTGGGCAAGAGTTCCAAAGTCTTATGCACAGCTCTGACTCCAAGGACCATGGAGAAGGAAGTCCTTCAAGACCTGGGTGGGTCTCATTAAACATCCCTGTGCCCTGGCCCACCCTGATCCACCACGACCCCGGAATGAAGGGTCCCCTGAATCAGTAGATCTGGTTACCTCTGGAAAACAAAGATGCTTAATTCAACTCTCCCACTGAGGGACAATGTGTCCCATGTGCACAGATGAGGTAGTGGCCCAGTCCAAGTCATTTGATGCTACCAGAGGCCCACTGATCCTGGACATATCACTGGAGGGCTAGTTCTAAAGTCCCAGCATCTGAGGGCTGCATGAGGAGACGAGCTAAAGGCCATACCACCTCCACTGCCGGAGACAGACTCTAGCTACCTGCTGAGGGCCCTGCAGACGGAATGCTGCAGGAGGGGGCACTGGTGCCTCAGTGGCTGCAGTAACAAAGGACCTCACCAGGTTATTTAAACAATGGAGATGTGTGCTGTCCCCAATCTGGAGACCAAGGTGTGGGTAGGGCTGGTGGTTTCTGTGGATCTGTGGAAGAACCTGCTCCAGGCCCTTCCTCCTCAGCTGCTGCCTTCTTTGTTCCCTTCTTCCTCCTTATTCTCCTGTGTCCACTTTCACCTTCCCTCCTTCCTCCCCCCTCCCCTTTCCCTCCTGTGCCTACTCTGTATTCTTTCTCTGTTTTGGCTTCTTTCTTTTCCTCTGTTTTGGTGACTTCGTCCTCCTCCTTCATTTTTTTCCTCCGTTTCCTTTTCATCTTCCTTCTCTTTTTCTCTTAAAGGTCTTTGTCAGGCTGTGACCCATGATTCCAGGCATATGCCCAAACTCCTGGCTGCCACTCAAGTTTCTGATGGATGGTGGCTGCCCTGGTTCCTCCTTGCCCTGTAGACTACTGCCCTAGTCTCTGTCTTCACTCTCACGTCGTTCTGGCTTTAGAGGTAAGACAGAAGAAATGGGTTATGGAATTTGCCCCCGAGATTAAGGGAAGCTGCTGAGGCCAGGCATGTGTGCGGGGTGTCCCTGAATGGAGGCCTAGAGAGACCACTGCATGAAGCTGTCAAGTTGAAGCCTGGATTGTCTTGGAGAACCCAAGATGTTAGAGATGCCAGTCATGAGATATTGGCCTAGGAGAGCTGCTAACAGGAAGTGGAACCAGCCCGAGGGAAAGAAGTGTGCTGCAGTCAAAAAAGCTGAATGTAGAAATCTTGGCTACTTAGCCAGCACCATGTCTTCCTGTACATCTCCACGCTCGCCGCCATGATACTAATGGACTGGACCTCTGAAACTGTAAGCAAGCCACCCCAATTAAATGTCTTCCTCTATAAGAGTTGCCATGATCTTGGTGTCCCTTCACAGCAATAGAAGCCCTAACTAAGACAATCCAGGGGTGACACCATCTACAATTGGCTAGGCTCTCTTGCATCAGTCATTAAGAAAATTCCCCCACAAGCTTGCCCATAGACTAATAAGGTGGGGGCATTTTCTCAGCTGAAGTTCCTTCTTTTTCCTAGATGATTCTAGCTTGTGTCAAGTTGATAAAAGAGCTAACTAAGGCACTTATTTAGTTGTTTATTTAGACAGGCTCTCACTATGTTACCCTGGCTGATTTCAAACTCACTAATCTACCTGCCTCTGCTTCCTCAGTGCTGATGTTAAAAGTATGCTACCATACCTGGCTATTTTAGTGTGTGTGTGTGTGTGTGTGTGTGTGTGTGTGTGTATGCGTGCGCACGCGCGAGCGCGCGTATGCATGTACACATCTGTGGGTGAGAATCTGCAGAGTAAGGAGAGGGCATCAGATCCCCTAGAGCTGGGGTTACAGGCAATTTTCAGCTCCTAGACGTGGGTGCTAGGAACAGAGCACTGGTTCTCCAGATGAGCAGTGAGTGATCTTAACTGCTGAACCATTTCTCCTGCCCCATACTCACAGACCTGTTTCCTGCCTGTCATTCAGGCCGGGTGGCCTTGAGACTACTCTCTGGAGAACTAAATGCAAACGAATCCTGGCTGTGCCCAAGGAAAGAAGCATCACCTGCTTCCCTTTTTGCCCCGTCCCACAGGCTGCTCCAGCAGGAGGTGGTGGCGAGGTCAAGGTCCATGAGGTGAAGCTGATAGTGAAGAGAAGAGCTGCATAGCACAGGGATCCTGGACCTCAAATGACAGAGCAGCCGCCATGCCGGCTCTGACACAGCACCTTTTACACCTTTTTACAAGGTTCAAAGTCTTGGTGACTGAGGTTGCAGTAGTCCATCTTGTATCATCACTAATTAATGCGCAGCCATCCGAACCCCGATCATTTCCAGCATCCCTAGTTCTAACCCAGATTCCAGAAAACAGTAAGGACAGAAACAGCTTGACTGTTTCTAGGTCGTCCAGAGCCTCCCTATTCCTCTAGGACAGGAGTCTCTCTTTGAGGCCAGCAATGTGGTGGCAAAAGTGTATGGCCCAGGGCAGCTTGGCTACATTGCTGCCATGACAGGCTCAATAGGGACCAGCCAGAAAGTAGGCCTGAGTTTCAGCTTCCCCTAAGACACCACCCGACTCCAGGAAAGATCATAAACTAAGACCACTCAGGAATGGACCAATACCTAACATTCCAAAGGAAATAGCTAATGTTCATACCCATTCCCTTTCACCAACACACCCCCAAGACAAATGTCAGCCAATCAGGGGTCCTGAACCTTAGAAACCCCTCAACCCAACCTCTGTCATGATTAAAAACCCCACCCCACCTGAGCTCAAGGCTCTCTGATCTCTCACTGCTTTGTCAGACACATGGAGGGTCCAAAGCTTGAACTTGAATAAAGGCTCTTTGCTTTTGCATATGGATTCGGACTCCTTGGTGGTCTTTGGGGGACTCCATGATCTGGGCATAACAAAAGTTTTTTTTAACTATTTTTAAATATTTATTTATTATGTATACAGTGTTCTGCCTGCATATATGCCTGCAGGCCAGAAGAGGGCACCAGATCTCATTACAGATGGTTGTGAGCTGGGAATTGAATTTAGGGCTATGTGGTTGCTGGGAATTGAATTGCGGACCTCTGGAAATGCTGCCATTGCTCTTAGCCACTGAGCCATCTCTATGACTTCTAGGCCTTTTGGCTAAGATCAAGTGCAAGGTGGTTGTGCACTTCCCAAGGGCCAGCTTGCTGCTGTGGGGGAACAATGGAGACCAGCTGTAAATACTCCAGAGGGCGGAAGTGTCTCCACCCTCAGCACAATTTCCTCATGAAACATTGTCACTGAATGCTGACCATTTCACTATCGTTGATTAGTTTACATCTCACTAGACACAAGAGTCCAACTGCACAGACCCGGAGAGACAGTTGAACAGTTTTAGTAACACGGGGATGTAAAATGATTGATATCAGATTGTTTTCTTGGGGTATGCATCTCTGAAAGTACAAATGGGGACAAGGATGGGAGTGGTTAAGAAGGAGCTAAGTAGGGGTCAGACATCAGGCTCCTGTAGAAAACCTGGCTGTGATTCCAGGGTAAGAGGGTAAGGAGAATGCATGTGTATCCGCATGCACCAGTGAACACCTGCATGTGTATCCGCATGCACCAGTGAACACCTGCATGTGTATCCCCATGCAACATTGAACACCTGCATGTGTATCCCCATGCACCAGTGAACACCTGCATGTGTATCCTCATGCACCAGTGAACACCTGCATGTGTATCCCCCATGCACCAGTGAACACCTGCATGTGTATCCCCCATGCACCAGTGAACACCTGCATGTGTATCCCCATGCACCAGTGAACACCTGCATGTGTATTCCCCAAGAAAGTGAGGCTACAGCAATTTCTCCAGAGGCACATCATCACCTTTATTAGCAGGGCAGCTAGCTCTAAACTGATGCTTCCACTAGGCTGCGTGGACAGATTGAGGGGCTGTAACAGGAAGGGACACTAGTGATGGTCAGCAAGGGTCTTAAGAACAGAGACAGAGCACAGTGAGGGGTCACCATGGCGCTGTCACAGCACAAGCTTAAGGGAGAAAGCAGAGAACAATCCATCCTGGTCATTCAAGCCCACGATGGGCAGTACCTCTCACAGACTTGGAGCTTTTGGACTCTAGGGGAAGTCATACTGACCACCCTGAGAATTTCTTCCTCCCAACCTGGGTCAGTCAGCTGTCCCCAGTAAGTCTTAGGACTGAACATTTCCAACTGTCTGACATAGTTAACTCTACCCTGGTGACAGCTGGAGGCACTGTCTCCATTCTTGCAAGTCTGCCTGTGACCTGAGAGAGATAGGGAAAAGAAACTTCTGCTTCCCTAAGGAAGCTGGAAGGAAGTGGGCAGAGGTTACATTGTTTCTGGGAGGCGCGGCACTCCATGGAAAATGAGACTTCTCAGTTCTTCAGCTGAGACACCTCATACAGGTATGCTGCCAGCATCTTGGTCCCTTCTACATAGTTGTGCCTAGTAGAGAAAACAATCACCACCACCACCAATCAGCAGCTGACTGAGGAGTCAGCATCCAGGTGGGCAGTGAGTCCTCCTAGTGCTCTGTCTCTAGGGAGCACCCCTACTCAGGCTGTCAAGTGTGGTTCGGCTTTAAAATTCAGCCTGGCAGTTCTTAAGTACAAGTTTGGTGTGACATCTCCCGCCATTCCTTACCACAATAACCAGTCCTTGATGAGGAATACTAATTCAACATGCGTCACATTCTTGTATACTGTGGAATATTTTTTTTAATGATGCAAAGATGTGTTGCATTCTTTTATGTTGCATTTGTTTAACTCTGTGAAGCTGTGCTACTTTACTTGTCTAAAACACCTGATTGATCTAATGAAGAGATGAATGGCCAATAGCTAGGCAGGAGAGGAAAATACGTGGGGTTGCCAGGCAGAAAGAATAAATAGAAAAAGAGGAAGAAGAGGGAGGAGCAAGACAAGGAGAAGGAGAGGGGGACGCCAGGGGCCAACCACCCTGTCAGTCATAGAGTAAGAAGAAAAAAAAAGGTATACAGAATAGAGAAAGGTAAAAGCTAAGAGGCAAAAGGTAGATGGGATAAGCTAAGACCGGGGATTCATTCATTATTTGGGAGCTGGATGGCAGGCCCTCAAATAAGAGAAAAAAAAAAGGAAAGAAAGAAAAAAAACAACTACCAGTCCTGGCCTTGGTCTAGAACTTAGTCTCACCCAGAGCCCTGGGAGTGAATGAAGGGCTGTAGCCTCCCACAGCGCCTGTGGCCTGCTTGCCTGGCTCCCTCCTCCCTGCTTCTCAAAGGCACTCTCTACCCTGAGGGAGGGTGGAGGAAGGCCCAGTATGTCTGTCTGTGAGGGGGAGTGTGAGTGATTAGTGATGCAGTGTAACTTTTCATAAACATGGGTGCTACATGAAGAGTGTGATGAACAATGAATCCAGATGAATCCTGTTTTCAATCTGCCACTATCACGGCCTTATGCCTGCCTCTCATCGGTTTTTACTACCAAACCACTACGGGACAACAGAGGAGTGGTCACAGACCTGTCGTCTGCTGGGGGTTGCAACCCAAGCTCAGGCCCAGGCCCAGTCTTACCTATTCAGCTTTTCATTCTGGGAGTGGGCACCGTCATCTGCTGACCCCACTGGTAACAGCATGACATTTTTGCCTGTGGCCTCCTGAAAGGTCAGGGTCACAGGAATACTGCCACCTTCTCTGGTCAAGTCAGGTTCAACACCAAACACTGGGGAAAGTAAAATAAAGAGAAGTGATGAACTCTGGGTCCTGGATGCCAGAGAGCCACCACTTCCCAACACTTAGTCCAGACCGTGGGCTCAGGAAGCCACTCCTACAGCTTAAGGCCCTGATCGCACTCCACACTTCAGCCGCGCTCACAACACCATCGACACCGTCATGTGTACAACACGCTACAACAGAGTCCTCAGACACTCTCAGGGCCTGGCATCCACCTCCAGGGGACAGCCAACCTGTTTTCAGGGCTCTTCTCCCAGCCAGGTAATGAGGATGGTTGAAGTCAGATACCCAGGGCTTCCCACCATGGCCCATGTACACCTTGAACTTGTTGGGGCTGTGCAGTTCAGCAAACTTTTTTGACAAGTAGCTTGAAACCTAAACCATAAGCAGAAGAGACCCAAGGTATTTCATATCCTGCATTTGACTCAATGAGAATCTGCAGGGTGTCTAGATGTCATGACGAGTTGGGCATAATAGTTCTACACAGCATCTAGGAGTCTAGAAAGGCCTGTGGCGAGCTTCGTTCTCTGCTGCTGGACACTGATGCGCATAATCACTGCAGCGTAGAAAGGACCTGAGAGAGTGATTTATTTGAGTGACAGGCAAAGCATTCATATACATAATAAATGTAAACAAAACTCAAAACCAAACAAACAAGACCAACGGTGGGTACTGGTCTGGGGGGGCTGCCTGTTTTCCTCTGGAGAGAGGCCGGGTGTCCTCTTCCCAGAAGCCTCTCATCTCATCTCTTTACGAAGTCTCTCACCAATAAGGTACATGTTCCATGACCCTCACTTACCTATAGCCACCCAGATCCGCCCTTCTTCTCCTCACCCGAGAGAGGCAAGTGTTTGCTTGACATCTTTAGGCTGAGGTCAGAGGTCATATTTTCACATGCCTCAGCAGTCTGAAGTGTGTAAATGCTTGCTCATATGACCTTTGTCTTTGACAAGCTTCTACACTGCTTATTACAGTAAATGTTGAGGGGTGGGGGTCAGGATGTGGAGGCTTCTGCCTGGGAGAAAGTTCTTACAACTGTTTTAAGTTTAACATCACAGCAGCTCTCGGCTGCCATGTGCACCCCGCATACCTGCTCGCTGACAACTTCAGGTGTCATGTTGGGCACCAGCCTGATGGAGAACTTGCCCACCACTTTCCTGGGGATCACAGTCTTGGCCCCTGAGCCCGAGAAGGCCCCTTCAATGCCATGGAGGGAGAGGGACGGATATCTCCATCGGTGCATCAGGATGTCTTTCTGTAGAAGCACAAGAGGTCAGATCTGCTCATGGAGGAGATAGGTGTCTACACAGGAGGACATGGGAACCCCCACCCAGTGTACTGGAATTAACGTCACATTACTCCAAAGGAGGGTTGTGTAGCAGTAATGGCCTCAAGAAGTGACGGTGAGTGGGTGGCTTGCTGTGAGCTAAGATGTCCCTGTTCTTCTCTCACTCAGCCCTTGTCAGACTGAGAAGCAACTCCCAGGCTCGACATCTCCCCTTAGCCAGGTTCTCTAGCCTTGTGCCCAGACTGACTGATAGCACAACCATTTTTAGTTATTTGTTCCTTTGACTCTGAGACAGGTGGAACTCAGGAGTCCAGCCTAGCCTGTTCCTCTCATTTCCTGTCCCTAGGGCCCAGAAGAGGCAGGATCTGTTAATGTCTGATAATGTTGGCTACACTGAGGTGACAAACTGATAGCCATACTCCTAAGACAAGAAATACATTAAGATAAAACTTTCCTTCCTCCTACCAATTAAGTAATGGCAAATAGCTTCTGCCTCCAGCTTAATTTCTGGGCCTTGTGGGAACAATGTGGTCCATAAACCCAAACAGAACAAACAGCAGCTGTGGCAAGAGAGGACTCTGCTCCCTCAGAGGACCCCCCCCCAACTTGGTCAAAGGTTGGTCCTGGCATCTGAAAGCCCTAACAGCTCTCAACTTGACCACACCCTACTTTTGATGAGTCTTGAGCATGCCCCCCCCCCTAGGATGAGTCTCTGACACTGGATGTCTATGAGTGTGGTGGATACTGTCGTGGGAGCCCTGGTGGTCTGTCAGGGGCAGGGGCGGGAGCACCAGAGGGCAAGCAGAACCTTGCAGTTGTGCAGAAGGGGTCTCCGGGGGTTGAGGGAGAGCAGTACCTTACAGCTGTGCAGAAGGGTCTCAGCCCCCACATCCTTGGCAAACTCTTCCATATTGAAGTCAATGTGTTCATAGAGCTTACACTCCTCTTCTGTCACAGGAGCCACGGCGTCGTTGATGCCAGGGATGAGGATTTTCCCCTTCTTGTCTATCAGACAGCCTGAGGGAAGCGGCAGAGGGTGGAGTGCTTAGTTGGGGCAGAGTTCTGAGTTGTCCTGACTCCAAGAACTCAGGTACCAGGGCAAATAGCCACACAACAGCACCTGGGCACATTACGCCAGTAAGTCAGTTAAATAGCCTCAAGGAGGTGGACAGGACCACTCCTCACCCCTGCTTTTTAGAGAGATTGAGGAACATGTGGAGTGCATAAGTTAGCCCCCAGTTGAGCACCAGGACAGGAACTAAAAACCCACACTAGGCAGCATTTCTTGACAATACATATTCTACAAGAAACAAGGTCCTCTAAAGCTGGCGAGGGGACCTCTGTGTGTCACAGAGCAGTCTCTAACTATAGATGCAATGTCATTTCACCTGCAGGAGCCTTCATCCTGGGAGGCAGGATGAGAGAAGATTTCAAAACTACACAGAGACCATGGCTCCCACTTAGCTTTATACTAGTACAATGCTAGAAGGAAGCTGTCATTCCTGCTCTCCAGAGGCTGACCAAACAGGGGACCTAGTTACAGCCAGTGGGAACAGATCAAAGCAGATGCTCTGAGAGATGTAAAAAGCATGCTCACGTGAATGACAGCACCCGGGGTTTCTAAGGGACAGGCTGAGCAGGACGAAGGGCCATCCCACTGGATATGGGAGGGAGGGAGAACCTTCTATAGATAGTGATGAGGTATGGGATAGATGCAAGGACAGGAAGGGGCAGAGGCAGGAATGAAACACAAGGCCCTTTAAACAAAGTCATGCCCAGAGGAAGGAAACTTAATTAGAAATATGGCTGAGTAGGCTCATGAAGGATGCTGAAACATACTAGGCATGCACACAGAGAGCTTATAAAAAGTACCCTGTCCACTTCCCTAAGTGACAAAGTGCTGGCCCAGACAGCTCCAGCCCTAAGCTCACCCATCAGTGAAATGAGATCCGTCATGGCTTCATGCACTGAGCCACCATACACCCCAGAATGGAGGTCTTTGTCACTGCATTCCACCTGGACAGAAACAAAAGGTCACTTTATTTGGTGGCTTAGTGGGAGCTTATTTTAATTATGTGGCATTGCATTGACAAAGAACAGTTGTAAGACTGACAGTTTTCTAGTCCAAATCTGCTCCCTCAAGGAGCAAAGCAATGCATTTCCCAATTAGAAAATCCAGACACCAGATGGACTCCTGGATGTGCAGACCACATGTGCATTGGGAATGCTGGCTGCAGGTGCATGGGGAATGCTGGCTGCAGGTGCATGGGGAATGCTGGCTGCAGACAGAAGTATGGTGTAGAACAGCCTCTCTAACACTGGTTACCCCTTTAAAAGGAAGGGCAGAATCTTGTCATTTTGCAGACCCCCTGAACATGTTTCCTCAGAGGACAACACCAAGCTTGAAGCATGACCCCATCAACATGAAACCCCAGTCAGACCCATTTGAGTACTGACTGGTCTTATAGCCAGGCAAGTCAGGTAACCACTGTGTGATTAGACTCCCATCTATAAAGGGGATGGGAAGCTCCTCACAGCACAGAATCAATGGTAACATGCACATAGTCTCACACAGCTACAGCCATGGGTTCTTTCCTATTAGGTGACCCACCACCATCATCTCAGTGGGAGAAGATCTCTATCAGCCTGTGGCAGAGTTTGCCACACTCCCTGCTCATTGGGTAGAGAGTCTCCGTTCTCTCAGGAAAACTCAGACATGGGATTGAGCACTTACCTGCTAAAATGTGAACATTTTGACTTTCAAAGGACGGGCTCTCGAGTGTTTATTTGTCCAAGCCATCCTAGAAGGACTAGCACTTGCTGTCATCTCATCTAATCTAATAAATGTCACAGATAATACCATCTGAATTTGAAACTGCCATGAGATTGGACTTCTGACCTCAGAAGTCCATGCCTGGGTTATCAGGATGGATTATGGAACCCAAGAAGCTCCCTGGAAAGCTCTGAGATCCTCCTTCATGTGGGATTAACTTCTTGGTATTTGCCCGTGTCATGGTACAGAAGAACAAAGAGACTTACGGTTAGAGAGAAACAAGGTGAAGTTTGTGGGGCTCAGCTCATACCTCAATAAAGAAGTAACAAATGCCTCGGAGCCCGTATGTGATGCACGGCTTATTCTTCCCCAGCCAATAGTTGTCTGAAATGCAGACATAGTCCACATCTTTGAAGAACTTGTCTTTCTGGGCAAAAATTAACTCATCCAGGCCTTCGGAGCCAGACTCCTCCATGCCTTCCAGGCAGAATCGCAGGTTGACAGGAATCTCCTGTGACAGGGACATAGCAAAACAGCCAGTTTCCTTACTTTTCTTGCAGAAGCAACACACAAGAGACTGTTTTGAAATTTAGCTTCAAATATGAGATCTTCTCTCCCTGGCCTGTGGGAGTCCAGGGTGGGAAGGGAAAGCCCTACACCATGCTTAGGTATGCCTGCAGGGATCCCTACATTCACAGAGTGAGTCAATGAGTGTAGGGAAAGCCACTAGACAGGGAGAAGGGCAAAGCATAGCCATCTGAAGAGAACTGATTGCTTCTCAGAGGACCAGGGTTCCACTCCCAGCACAAACATGGCTGCTCACAATGTTCTGTAACTCAACTTCAGACTCCCACATGTGTGCATACCCTGGTACAAACATACCCACATGCAATAACACTTGCCAGTAGTGTGCTCTTTCTCTCTCTCTCTCTCTCTCTCTCTCTCTCTCTCTCTCTCTCTCTCTCTCTCTCTCTCTCTCACACACACACACACAAAGAAAATAAGAGGAATCAGGAGAGAATTTATTTATTTTTAATAATCACTGAGTCTTCACTGTTGCTATGGCTAAGGGAGACCTTTTCCATACTTGGAAGGCCTTATACACTGCCAGCTTCCCTCTGCACAAGAAGCCAAGAGGTCCTGAGGTGCTGGGTGGGAATCTCAACACAGGTCTGGAATCTGGGTCAAGTTCTGTGGATAATGCTCCCCGAGTTCTTCTAGCTCCATAGGATGAAGCGGGCAGCCTGTCCACAAGTGAACAAAGAAGCTCCATACGAGCAGGCAACTAGCTAGAAGCCACACACACACACACACACACACACACACACACACACACACACACACACACACACTCACACACACACACTCACACACACACACACTCACACACCCACACACACACACTCACACACACACACTCACACACACACACTCACACACTCACACACACACACACACACACACACACACACACACACACACACACACACACACAGGACAAAGCCACAGGGGTCACAGCCGAAAAGCCCCAGCTCCCTCCCACCCTCTTCTTCGGTCCCAGGTGCAATCTTTAGAACCTCAATACACTGACAGTTCCGAGTGAAGGTGTTCAGGGCTCTGTCCTGAGCTCCCTCCCCTCTGTGGTCCACGACATTGTGTGGAGCCCTGCAGTTGCTGAGTCTTCCTGGTTTCTGTGCCCAGTTCTGCTTGACAGAGTGTGTGTGTGTGTGTGTGTGTGTGTGTGTGTGTTTAAACCTGATTTTTCTCATGCAGGGGATCCCAGATGAAAAGAATGTGAGCCTGTTTCCAGATCTAATTTTCTACACCTAAACAAAAATACTTATTCTTATTTATCATGCTCTGAAATAATATCCATATGCAAAAATTGTCCAGACAGCATGATCACAATCAGGTTAAAGATAATAAAAAATCTGGTAGGGAACAACACTAGAAGCTATAGAGTTAAGTTTCTAAAACTGCCCCCACCCCATTTTCTATATTTTAGTAATTTTGAAAAAAAATACGCAAAATAGTCTAACATTTATTGTTTTAGGAGAATATAAATCACACACAGAAAAGAATTTTCCCAATATCACAAAGTTTGTTACATTCTAGCAAGGGACTACACTCATGGGTATGGTCAAAGGTTGAAAGTTTGTGTTGGTCAAGGTTGTGGCACATGTCTGCAATCCTAGCACTTGAAGGTTGAGGAAGGAGGGTTGTCATGAGTTCAAGGCCAGCCTGAGTTATAGAGCATGACTCTGTATCGAACAAACAAGTCCACCTAGACTTCACTTGTGGGAGCCAGGGTGGTGGCATGCTTATAATCTAGCACTAGGGAAGCTGAGGCACATGAAGCTCTGTGAGTTACAGGTCAGCCAGGGTTATATAGTGATAACCTATCTCAAAACCAACCAACCAACCAACAACAACAATAAAAAAAATGCCAACAAGCCAGGCAGTGGTGGCATGTGTCTTTAGTCCCAGCACTCAGAAGGCAGAGGCAGGCAGATCTCTGTGAGTGCAAGGCCAGCCTGGTCTACAGAGTGTAGCCAGGACTACACAGGAAAAACCTTGCCATGAAAAACAAAACAAAACAAAACACCACAACAAAACAAAAAAACACCTAAAAAATAAAACAATAACAAAATTATCAGCAAAACAAATAAGCAACAAAAAAGAAATCCTCAAAACATTCACAATAAAATAAAATAAAATTCAATTCACACTGGGGATGGAGATACAGCTCAGTGGTATGGAATTTCCCAGCATACACGAAACCTGGGTTTGATGCCAGCACAGAATGAAAGGAGAGAAACAAAGATCACATTCTAAGTGTTGGCAAGAATCTTGCTGAGTGGTGATAACTTGACCTTTGGGCATCTGTAAGACAATGACTGCTTAATGATTTCTAGAACTGCAAACACCTGTAATCTTCAATCTAAGTCACCTGTGCGACCAAGGTGGAGCCTTGCTTTCTTCTCTCTAGTGACCTTTAGACCTCTACTCACATGAGCTGATGAGTGGACAGAATCTAACGTGAGGGTGGGTGTACCTGGCCAGTCTTCTGATAGGCTTCCAGGGCATTCATCCATCCGGCCACTGGCCCCTTATCATCCGTCGAGCCTCTCCCATATAACTTGCCTGGAACAGCAATCAGCAGATCCAGTTAGAGACAACAAATCAAAAGGACCTTTTCTCAAGTGAAACCTTTTCTCAAGTGAATGCCTAGGCACAAACTCACACAGTGGTCCTGAGCAATAGGGCCTTTTTTACTTTAAAAGCCTGAGTCTCTAGCCATCCCTATGCTAAATTCAGAAGGAATTTCTTGCAATTCAAGAGGCAGTCACATGGGTGCATCTGTTTCCCTTGCATAGCAATGGCTAGGACCAGGATTTGCAGGGATTTACCATCCGTTTCCAGGAAACCTTTAAGACTATGTGCCCTACACAGCTAACATAGCCACGTGGAAGCCTGGTTGCTTCAGAAACACATGGCCATCATCATCACAGAACACTACAGACTATACTCACATCCCCATTTTTTGTCTAATCTGAATCCAATGGGAGGTGTTAGGCTATAAGGAGTGTGGTCTTGTCATCGGGATCAGCACTGGGGAATCCTCAGCATGGGCGGGGCAGAGGCCGGGAAGCGACTAGAGATGGCACAAGGCAGGGACAGGACAGCCTGTTTCTGGTATGGGTGGTGGGAAGACTGTCATTCAAAGGGTTATGTGAGAGAGGGCCCAAGGAAGAGAGATGAGGATGCCCGGCTGCGTGAACTCAGGTGACCACGAACGACCACACAGACACAGAGGTCTGACACTCAGGAGGAAGCCAAGTGCTCATGGAGTTACAACAGAATGGTATTAGGTAAAAATAACGTTTCCCATTTCACAGGCATGTGACCGTCCACAGAACATGTCTAAAGGCAGCCTCCACACTCTGTTAGGGGGCCTGGGATTTAGCCCTGAGGAGCAAGGCTCAAAGGCAGAAGGTGCTGTATCTCAGGGGCTCTTCTGATCTGAACAGTGACAACTGGGAATGGAAGCACCATGCAGCCTCAATTCGGGATGGATGATCTGGAAAGGTGTTAGGGTTGAAGGGAGGCCTCGCAGGCTCCCACCAAGGACTTGTCATGAGAAAAGGAAAACTTTTCTGAGCTTTCAGTAACCAAGGCACAAATGAGAAACTTACATTAAAAATGTACCAGAAAGAGAAAACCCCAGGGGAATATTAGTGATTTTCCAAATGTAACATCTCCAAAACTATTCCTCTAATGTTGAGCACTTCAGTTGGCAAGCACCGGGTGCTTTGTTACAGTGGAAGCTTCTCCCCAGTCCCTGGTATCCGTAGACCCAAAGAGTCTGGAATGTTATGGTGGAAGTTCTAGCCAAGCCCTCCATTACCTCGCTCCAAACCCTGCTGCATCTCAGAAAGTCCACCAAATGATGGCCCCTCCCCGAGAGATGCTCAAGACCACTCCCACAGGGCATTTAAACTGTCCCGCAGAAAACAGATATGTGGTTTTCCATCTCCTCTCTGGGGGGAAGGGGTCAGGAGGTGCTGGAAGGCCATCTTGGAGCTTTGTAACCATTAAACGAGGGCTTTTAAAATTCAGTTTGATTTGGTCTGCTTTGGATTGTTGCATCAGTGGAGAGGCTTATTAGGGTACAGAAACTTTTCACGCTTACCATCCCGCTCCACCAAGGTGAAGGGCTCACTATCCCAGCCATCCTCCAGGGCCGCAGGCTGCACATCCAGGTGCCCGTAAATGCATACTGTTTTCTTCTGGGGATCGCTGCCCAGCTTACCCAACAGAATGGGAGGAAGAGGTATCTCCGAGCCATCTGGGAGCTGACGGGGAGGGAGTGAGCAGTGGGAGACAGTCTGGTTAATAAACTGGGAGTGTCTGGCAGCTGTCATTAAATCTAGCTAGGATGGTCTTACTATTCTCATCCACCAACCTCTGCTATAGAGCATTAGGATCCTATCATTTAACAGTTCTTAATTAACTCTCCTGAAATCCAATGGTTTCCCAAATCACTTTCCAGAAGCCCAACGAGCATGAACTGACTCACACCTACAAGTAGTTTGGTAAACCACTAAAGGCTGCTTTAAAAAAATAAAAAAAAATCATCAATACACACAATGAAACATTATGTAGCCTGGGTCTGGGATACAACTTAGCTCATTTCTGAAATAATAGCTAAAACAACTACAATCTGCAACTGAATGCTGCATTTTAAAAATTCTATATGTAGACAACAGATGAACAGAATGGACCACCAACCAGGACATTAAGGGAATCAGGGTTAGGGAGATGGTTTAGCAGTTAAGAGTGTTTTCTGCTCTTCCAGGGAACCCGAGTGCAGGTCCCAGAGCCCACATCAGACATCACAACCACCTGTAACATCAACACCAGGGGTTTGATGATCTTTCAGCCTTTCTGGGTACCAGCAGACATGTTGCTTACAAACACTTAAACTTGTGAGCACAGGCCAACACACACACACACACACACACACACACACACACACACACACAGACTTTAAAAAAAATCTTCAAAACAGAAAGAAAGAGAATTCATATAATGTCTGGTAAATGAAATGGTGGTAGTTGGCACTCCCCCCACCCCACTAGTTACAGATTTCTAGACCAATCAGTCTTAAGTCTTTTCCTACCTTTACATCAGGTCAGTGGTTACCATTTGTGACTCTGTGGCCTAAGCAGAATGTACTCACACCCTGCAGCCCAAGTGCCTTTTCTACTAGTGCTAACATCTTATCAGAAAAACCTTGTGCACAGCAAAGAACACAAGAAGTTGACAGGGAAGCACAATACACCCACACACACACACATTTGTCTGAGGGTAGGAGGAAGAAACTGTTCCAGCTAGAACATCATACACATGTGCTGATATACTAGAAACCACTACAAAGAACTATTATGAAAATGTCTCCCATTCAAAACATAATGCACAAACTAAACTGATAGTGCAGTTGGAAGTCGGCCTGCCCAGAAGCCATACTACCCTCACCATCGCCCAATGCATACAATAGCTGTCTGATAATGAAGCTAGACTAACAACTTATGATTAAGAGACAAAATGAGCAGCAACTGAAATGACAAGGTTAGGGAGTGTGGGGGAGGGCAGAGAGAATTCTCATCTCCCACCTTTCAGCCTCTAAGCATGCGAGAGAACTCAGCAGATGGTTGGAATTCCTCTTTCTGAACTCAAAAGATGCCCCTTCCCTGCCTGAGTTCTGGAATCAGAGGCAAGCATCATGACACCCAGGAGCTCCTAGCTGCTACGAGGGCTGGGCCTGCACATCAGGTCTCATGAGGTTGGCTTGTAGGCACCAGGGGAAGAGAATCATGCCTTAAACTTCTGGGCACAGGGCACATGGCCTTTTCCATCCGTTGCCTCTTAGCTGCCTGAGCAGAGAAATCTCTCAATTCCTTGATGGAAATAGGTGTTACCTGATGGGAAATAGTGTAACAGTCACTGTATTCTTTTATGGATGGCCTTTAAAAGTAACTACATCAGTGGTAATGGAATAGGTTTATTTACTGTAACTTTGCTTGTTTTTGAGTCAGGGTTTCTGTGTAGTCCTGGCTGTCCTAAAGGTGTGCCTGCTCCCTCCCACCCCCAACTGCTTTACTTAATGTAAAGGAACTCTTTAAAAGTGATTTATCCCACCTAGTTATTCTTTGTTTTTTCCAGAACACAACGAGAAGAATGGGAGAGGCAGGTAAAGCAAAGGAAATGAGAAAGCAGGTGAGTTACACTCGAAACCCTGGCCTTTGGAGGCTAGACTGCACTATAGAGTAAGACCTTTCCTAGGAAATAAGTAACTAAAAAGTTTAAATGAGTAAGCAGGTGGGCTACACTTGCAACCCTGGCCTTTGGGAGGCTAGACTGGACTGTAGAGTAAGACCTTTCCTAGGAAGTAAGCAACTAAAAAATTTAAAAGACTAAACAAATAAAGAAAATATGATGAAACTTTTAGTTTATTCCTGTGGCAGGGGGGTTGGGAAGCTGATTTTGTATATTAACTATTAAAATTGTTATCGGAAGCAAATCTCGATAGAAGTATTGGACCAAAAGTCAGAAAGCCTGGATTTGAATTCTGGTTTTTGCCATGAATTCCATGGCTTCTAATGGTCACACCACACCCTTGGATAAAATATGCACAGTAAACTGAATGGTTAACCACAAATTCCAGAACTGTTCATTGTAACTGCACACCTAATTCATCAAACAAAAAACCCAAGATAAATCAAATCTTGTCACATTTTGCAATATAAGAGACTTCTAAGGTTTGAAAACACGCAGAATGAAGTCAGGTGTGGTGACTCATGCCTTAAATCTCCAAGGAGGTGAAGAGTGTCATGAGCTCTGGGCCAACTTGGGTTACATAGGAGGATGAGTCTGTCTAAAAACAAAACTACACAAACAATAAAATGAGCTAAATAATCATGTGAAACTAAAGTAGCTAAGAAATATATCATAAAATCAGATAAAGAAGTTGGGCATGGTGCTTGGGGGAAGAGGAAGAGGGATCTCTGTGAGTTCCAGGCCCTGTGTGGTTTACACCCTGGGTTCCAGCCTTCCAGGGCTACATAGTTAGATCCTATCTCAAACCAAAACAAAAACCAAAACCAAAACCACTAACAAAAATTAGAAGGAAAACAAGGTGTTCTTACAAAGCCCTCTCCATCTACAGATATGTGCCGAGGGGGAGCTTTGTTATTTATTGTTATGCTTTTGTTTTCAAGTGTATCTTTCCCTTTTATTGAAAATAGGCTTTCTTCTCATACAATGATTTCTGATTATACTTTTCCCTCTCTCCTCCTCCTCCCTGTTTCTCTGCCATCTGGATTCACTCCCTTGCTGTTTCTTACTAGAAAAGAACAGGCTTCTAAAAGAAATCAACACAATATAACAAAATAAGATATAATAAGATAAAAATAAAGCCCATTACATCACAGTTGGACAAGGCCAGCCAAGTGAAAGGAATGGAGGCCAAGAGAAGGAGCCCACTTTGCTCACACACTCAGGCATCCCATGAAAACACTGAACTGAAAACTGGAATATATACACAGGGGGCACGCTCCAGGAAGCTTTGGTATTTATAAAGTGACTTGGAAAATGTGTAACTCCTGAATGTGAAAGCTTTGATTTCTGGGAAAGGAATTTCAGCTCTTCTTAAGAATAAAATCATTTTAACTCACTGGTGAGTCACCCACTGGTCTACAGTTCTCCTTCCTGGAATGAGACATGCTGATTAATCATAAAACTTTTAACTCGCCCTCAGCGAGGCAATCCCTGGGATGCACGCAAGAGCCAGTACAAGCTTACTTTGACTTAGAGTTGATCATCTGCAGCCAAATGTCTCCCAGACCTGGTGCTTCTTCCCAGCCCCCAGGGAGAACCGGCCGCTCGAGGCTCCATGTGCTCATACCTTCTGCTTGCCGATGTCCACCAGCTCCACGGAGCCCCCGAGCGTCTGGATGTCTGCAGCAGCCACCTCCATCATCCTTCTGATCTCCCCTCTCTTCTCCGGCCAGGCAGACACACTCTGGATGGCCACCCATTCTGCAAGTTTCTGTTTGTAAAGAGCAAGTGGAAAGGGCTCTGAAATGCTATTCTCTGAGGGCGGGGGCGGGCCCCTCCACTTTCCGTGCACAGCAGACCTAGCCTGCCTGCTCTACATTTAGATTAAAAACCAACAAAACTGTACTGTTCCTACGCCCAAAACTAAGCAGGAAGGAAAGATGCCAGAATGTTCATTTTCAACCACCAAGCACAAGATTATAAACCATACAATTCCAAAAAGTAAGTTTATATTTATAGCCAACAAAATTGCAACAGAAAGAAAACATACTGCAATGTCATGATCCAAGTTAGTTTACTTGTCTCCCTGGCAGCAGCCAAGATGTAAGCTTTAGAGTGAAAAGTCAAAATGTTTCATCTGAAGTGGTTCTTCCAAAAGTAAACTGAAGTCTTAATTCTTTCAGATAAAAACCAAGCAACATTTTAAATATAACATCATAGAATCACTCAGAACATGCTGGATTCAAGCCGTCTTTTTTTTTAATCCATAACGATCACAAGAAACTATATATGAGATGAGAGAAAAATAACAAATGAGCATTATTTGTGGAGACAGATAATTAACTGTCAGACAACGAGAGCCAGAGCCTGACATTTTTACCATCATGCAATGAAGAAACATGAAATTTTAATACTTGATCCAAATGGCATAACTCATATTAGCCTCTTGAAAGTCTCTCTGACTTGACAAGATTGAAGAGACAGCCCCTCACCTTGACATAGCGGTCCTGGTTTTCATCAATATACTGGAAGACAGCTTTGAGGGCTGACATCTTTCTGGCAGACTTCAGACCTCGGAGATTCTAAGCAGAGAGAGCAACGAGGAGTCAGACCTGCTTGTGGCTGGGACTGAAGGGCAGTGGCCAGAGGAGCTGAGTGAGGACTGAAAGTGTTCCTCCGCCCTGCAGTCAGCATTGCATCAGGACACTTATCACAGGACTCTCCAGGAAGTGACTGGGGGCCAGCCAGGCTTAGAATGATTTTCTGCTTCCTGACTCTAAAAGACAAGCTCCAGGACATTTTGTGTCCAAAGAGGAGAGCCCCAGCGGCAGGCAATTTGAAGAAAACAGTAAGTGGGTACTTTCCAATCACATGGATTTACTGTGCATTTTACTGTTTTGAGACAAGGTCACATAATAGCTGTCCTGGAACTTTCTGTGTAGAGCAGGTCGTGCTGGAACAGAAATTTACCTGCTTTCCGAGTGCCAAGATGAAAGGTGTGTATCACCATGCCTAGTCAGCACTTACTTTTTAAAATATTATACTATTTATTTATTTATGTGTCTGAGACAGGACCTCTTGTGGCCTGAGCTAGCCTGAAACACCTGATCCTCTTCCTCTGCCTTCTGAATGTTGGAATTACATGTTCAAACCATCAAGTCTGATTCATGCGGTGATGGGATCAAAGCCAGGATTTCCTGCATGCTAGGCGAACACTCCATCAACCAGCTACATCCCCAATTTTATACTCTTAAATAAAGCACAAGGTGAACTATTAACCTTCTATTGCTAGAGGAAATAATCATTTCAAAGATCTCCATAAAAATGTCACAGGCAGAGGCAGGTGGATCTCTGTGAGTTTGAGGCCAGCCTGGTCTACAGAGTGAGTGCCAGGACAGGGTCCAAAGCAATATAGAGAATTCCAGGCCAGTCAGGGATATGCAGTACAACCCTGTCTCAAAAAGCAAACAAATAACCCCCCCAACACCATACACACATTTTGCCTCTTCAACTGCAAACCTACACTCAGCCTTATGATTCAAAGAGCAAGATGAATTAAGCCGAGGAGAACAAATGATAACCTGAGCCACAGACTGTACTGAACCTCCTTAAGGGCCAAAGGTGAGCTACACTCCAGCTTTCTGGACACATGTTCCAACATTTACTTCTCAGGCCTGAGACAGAACTCCTATAGAGGCAGGAGACAGTGCTTTGTGGAACTGCTAAGTCCTCAGGATCTTTTCCTCCTCCTTAAAACCTAGCACAGTAGAAGAAATATTTTTAGACCCATGACTACCTTACACAGGCTCACCTGAAAGGGTGACACCACAGATATTGCCCAGGTGTTAATCAGTGTTACGTTCCACTCATCTGTTACCAACTATGCACAGGGAAGGCACCTGTTTGCCTGATGAAACCTTATCCTGCAGAACCATCTGCTACACTGGAAACTTTTCACTGGGGCTCCTGTTCCTTACATTAATCCCAAACACCATGGTGCAGCATCACATTCTCAGAGCTTTGCTGTGAATGTTAAGGCAAAGATGTAACGACCTCAGGTACATACACCTTTCACCAAGGGCATTACCAGTAAGGCTTCAACTGCCCTGCTGAGTTACCAGGGCACATTAAAGCGAACCCTGCCTTCAAACTGACCATCCAGGAGCAGCAGCAAGTCAAGCCAGGTTCTACTCTCCCTCTCACTAATTTCTAATGACTCCCGCTTCAGCTGCCCCAACATCAAGGCCATCAATTGCGAACCGTTTTGTAAATGGTTTGGTGGGTTGACCAGAAGCAAACTTCCCGTCAAATATGACAACAGCGTCACTATCTGCCAGTCTTGAGCTCTCCAGGAGCAGTACCAACAGGGCCCCCATGACAGGGTCTTCGGCTCATTACACAGAGTCGGTGATGACAAGACTCTCTGGAAAATATTGGCGACCCCAGGTTCTCCAGGGTTAGTACAGTGGATTAAACATCTACTCCACTTTACAAATGAGTAAGCTGAAACTGTTGAATGAACGAGCGGCCTGCTCGCACCAGCAAAGTGGCACGCGGAGACCTCTCTCCTGTGGATCCATCCTGGGGGCAAGGTCCAGCTGGACCCTGCCCAGGGCCTTTGCACCAAGGCGTCTCTGGAGCCAGACAGCGTCCTCAAAGTGCAGGCCCGAGGACGGCCCAGCCTTTGCTCCCTGCGACCCATCGGCCCCTTGTTGCCAAGCAGGCTGGCCTGGGAGCACAGCCCATCAGCCCTGCAGGGCGAACTAGGTGGTCCGGGGGACCTGGCATTTATGGGGAGGGGGCATGTCGGCCAATCAGAACCGGCTCTTGCGGCGGGGGAGGCCTAGGTCCCGGGTTAAGTCCCTCCGGAACTGGTGGTCCGCGCCGGGGCCTGGGGTTATTCAGGCCTGGGCTGACAGTGTATTAAGGATCCGGGACGTCCCGGACTACGCCGTTCCCACCCAGATGCCCGGGACCCCTCACTGTCTCTCAGACCAAGGTGACTCCCGGCCCGCCCGGCCCTGTATCTAACCCTCCCCGGCCCGCGGCGCCCTCCCGGGAAGGAAGGCCCACACAGCGCCCGCTTACCGCGCCGGTTCCGCACCACGTGTTCCTGGCTGACCCACCAGCCAATGCCCGGAGGTTTGAGGCTGGCTGCCCCGCCCCGCCGACCCTCCCCTCCCCAATAGCCAATGCCCGGTCTCTTCTAGATAGCCCCGCCCCTTAACGCCCCGCCCTCCTGCCTCCGAGCAAATGCCGAGCGCTGACTCAGCCGTGCGGGCCGTGGCCACGCCCCTCCTCCTCTGGCGCTCCGTGCCGGCGTCCACGCTCCGGAAGGAGACCTCTGGGAGTCGCCTTCAGTGCTACGTTGAAACCCAAAACTGAGGGTCTCACTCTCAGTTTCCCGAGGATTCCGCGTTGCTCTCTGGAGGGACCGGTGTATCCCACTGCTCTCCTGTTCCTGCAGAAGCCAGGGGATGGGCGTTCTGCCGGCTCCTCTTCGTCCCTTTGGTTATAGATCATAGACAAGTGCTGAATTACCAGTTTGTGACATCCAGAAGAGGGCTTCAGATTCCCCAGAATTGGAGTTATGGGATGGTTGTGAGCTGCCTTGTGGGTCCTGGAAATCCAAGGCTGGTCTTCTGCAAAAGCAACAAGTGCTCTCAACTTCTGAGCCATCTTCCCTCCAGACCTTCCTACATTCAGAGTTGCAAGGAATATAGTCTCACACACTGCAAATATTCTAAAATAAAATGACCCTTTTCCTCCTTAAAAATTGGCATGAGTTTTCTCTTTAACATTCCTGCAAATATGTTTTATGCTAATAGTCTTTTAACTGATGACTCTGTCATACTTTTCTACAGATATATATATACACATACACATATGTGTATTTAAGGATTTTTAATTTGATTATAATTACATCACTTTTTCCCCTTTATTTTTCCCCACCACCCCCTTCATGTTCCCTGATCTCTCCAATTTGTGGTCTTTTCCCCCCTGTAATTATTACTGTTACATATAACAATAGTTATTATTTTATTATCAGAGACTGAGCTCAGTGCCTCACGCATCTATCAAACACGGTCCCACTTTATATAATTTGTTGTTTATTTTTGTTTCTTTGAGATAAGTGTCATGCAGCTCAGGCTGGACCTAAAGGTGTCATTTCTGATTTTCCTGCCTCCACTTCCCAAAGTGCTGGGATTACTGGTGTGTGCCACCAGGCCCGACCTAAAATATCTATATTTTTAAAATTGTGTTCACTGTATTTTTCAATTATGTATAGGGGTGTGTGTGAACCAGAGATGTTAGATGCCCTGGAGTTGGGGTTACAAAAGGTGTGAGTCACCTGATGAAGGTGATGAGAACATTGGTCCTCTGGAAGAGCTGCTGTGGGAACAAGAGACCTTGGCCAGAGGCCCACTTCCCCATCAGCCTGGGAGCAAGCAGCTGTAACTGATAGCAGAAAAAACATGTTGACTAAAAACATCTTTACTAAAAACAATCCGGTGCCCTTAATCACAAAGAAAAAAATGTTTACCGGAGCAATAAGTTCCTGATAAGGGCTCACCCACAGGAACACCCTGACCTTGACCTTTCCAATGACTAACTGCCTCTTCCTGACCCCCCCCAACCCCCGCCTCTGGTATCAGGGTATATAACCAGCCGGGGTAAGAATAAAGCAAAGCCTTCTTTCACCACCAACTGGTCTCTGTGCCATCAATCCTGACACCCTCTGCAGATTCTTGGTTCAAGGCTGCGCAGGCGTGGCAGCTGCAAGAGGTCTTAACTGTGGAGCCTTCTCTCCAGTATGTACCTATAAACTTTAAGTTAGTTTCTATTTTATTTGCTTTTTGAACTGGGCATGGTGTTCACGCCTGTAACACTCAGATTTGAGAAGCAGAGGCAAGAGAACCTAATACATAGGGAATTCAGCCGGGCAGTGGTGGTGTACACCTTTAATCCCAGCACTCAGGAGGCAGAGGCAGGAGGATCTCAGTGAGTTTGAAGCTAGCCTGGTCTACAGAGTGAGTTCCAGGACAGCCAGAGCCACACAGATAAACCCTATCTCAAAAAAAAAAAAAAAAAAAAAAAAGAAAACCCCAAAAAACAAACAAAAAGTTCTTTAAAAATATATGCAGGGAATCAAAACCAGACTGGGTTTCATGAGATCTGTGTAAAACAAAACAAAACCTATTCTGGGTTAAATTATGATTATGATTATTGGTACATGAATAATTTAAAAACCCCCAACTCTTTCATATTTTGGCAAACAACTTTTAGGTATTAAAAGTAAAATCTTGGAATGCTTTAATCACATCTGCTGAGGTTTTAAGAACGCTAGTACAGCTCTCTGTAAATGCAGTTATTGCTGAGATGAGAAGGAGTAAGGTGAAGTGTGAAGCCAAAAGAAGTGATTTGAGGATGGGGGTTGTGTAAGCGTTTTGAGCAGATCGGGATGGGACAGGAGTGGGTCAGGTATCCTGGAGCTTGGGAGTCACAGAATAATGAGTGTTACACAGCTCAGGTGGAAAGGTATCCTGGAGCTCGGGAGCCAAGGACCACCACATGTTGCAGTAAGCTTAGCTGCTTAAAAAGCCTTGCCTCAGAGAAAGGCTTCCCCAGTGTATTGGCTCCGCTCCTGCAGGACAGGGTTTTCCAGCTGGGGATGTTCGCCTAGTGTGGCAGTTTTGCTTGGCAGGAGGTTTCTCCAGCGAAGTTGCTACAGTTCAGCTCTGCTCCTGGAGAGCAGAAAGCAAAGAGCAGGGAGCAGGAGAGGTTACAATTCTCTCTAACTCCGCTCTGCCAAGGGAAGGTTTCCCAGGCAAGTGTTACAGCACTGCTCGCTCTGCTCTGCTCTGCTCTGCACAGGGTCGCCTCTGCTCCGTCGCTGCTGCAAAAGAAAATCTTTGAGCAAGTCCAGCTTCAGGTGAGGTTGGGTCTCCGGCAGGGACCTTCCCCCCCTCCTTGCCCAACACCCATCCCCTTGAGCTTCTGGGGCCGCTCCTGGCATCCAGAAGACCCGTCCACACAGGAAAGACATCAGCCCTTCCAAGCCCCAAACCCCAGCGAGTTCAGCTTCAGGAAAGACATCAGCCCTTCCAAGTCCCAAACTCCAGCGAGCCCAGCTTCAGGAAAGACATCAGCCCTTCCAGGCCCCAAACTCCAGTGAGCCCAGCTTCAGGAAAGACATCAGCCCTTCCAGGCCCCAACCTCTGGCAACCCCAGCTTCAGCTTAAGCTTCAGTGTCAGCATCCCCAGCTTCAACTTCAGGAAGGAAGGAGACCAGTGGAGACAGAAAGACCCTACCAGCACCCACTGGAAGAAGAGATGGGAAGAAGACAGAATAAGAGCTCACTCAGCAATAGAAAGTCCAACATGACCCCACCAGAATCTAGGGATCCAATACCAGCAAGACCTGAAAAGCACAACATAGACGAAGAAGAGGAGACAGACCTTAAAAATTATTTCATGAAGATGATGGAGACCCTCAAAGAAGAAATGAGGAAATCCCTTAGAGAAATAGAAGAAAAAACAAACAAAAAATCCATGAAATGGGGGAAAAATTCAAGAAATAAATCTCTCAAAGAATCTAAAGAGCACCAAGAAAAAACAACCAAAAAAAATGAAGGAAACAACTCAAACAGTTAAAGGATTGAAAGCTGAAATAGAAACGATAAAGAAAACACAGAATGAAGGGATGCTGGAAATAGAAAAGCTGGGTAAACGATCAGGAACTACAGATGCAAGTATCACCAATAGAATACAAGAGATAGAAGAGAGAATCTCAGGTGTTGAAGACTCATTAGAGGATATAGAGTCGTCAACCAAAGAAAATCTCAAAACCAACAAATCCTTAACACAAAATATCCAGGAAATATGGGACACCGTGAAGAAGCCAAACCTGAGAATAATAGGTGTAGAAGAAGGCGAAGAAATACAACTCAAAGGTACAGGAAACATATTCAACAAAATCATAGAAGAAAACTTCCCGAACCTAAAGAAAGATATGCCTATGAAAATACAAGAATCTTACAGAACACCAAATAGGCTGGACCAGAAAAAGAAGTCACCTCGCCTTATAATAATCAAAACATCAAACCTACAGAGTAAAGAGAAAATATTAAGAGCAGCTAAAGAAAAAGGCCAAGTAACATACAAAGGCAGACCTATCCGAATTACACCTGACTTCTCAATGGAAACGATGAAAGCCAGAAGATCCTGGACAGATGTCCTACAAACGCTAAGGGAACAAGGATACCAGCCCAGACTACTATATCCAGCAAAGCTCTCAATTACCATAGATGGAGAAAAAATATTCCATGACAAAGCCAGATTTAAACAATATGCATCCATGAATCCAGCTCTACAGAAAGTGCTAGAAGGAAAACCTAGATCCAAGGAAGATAACTACATTCACAAAGACACAGGCAATATATAATCCCACTCTACAAAACACCAAAAGAAAAAGGGAGGAGAAACTACACAAAATAACTTCACTAACAATAAATCAAGCACAAACAAGAATCATCAATCAATGGTCATTAATATCCTTCAATGTCAATGGCCTCAACTTGCCTATAAAAAGACACAGACTAGCAGAATGGATACGAAGACAGAACCCTTCCTTCTGCTGCATACAAGAAACACATCTCAACATCAAAGACAGACGTTATCTCAGAGTAAAGGGTTGGGAAAAGATCTTCCAATCAAACGGTCCCAAGAAACAAGTGGGTGTAGCAATCCTAATATCTAACAAATTAGACTTTAAATTAAAATCAATCAAAAGAGATGAAGAAGGACACTTCCTATTCATCAAAGGAAAAGTACATCAAGATGAAGTCTCAATTTTAAACATCTACGCCCCAAATACAAAGGCACCTACATTCGTGAAAGAAACATTACTAAAGCTCAAAATGCACATAAAATCTCACACACTAATAGTGGGAGACTTCAACACTCCACTCTCACCGCTAGACAGGACCTCCAGACAGAAACTTAACAAAGAAACAAAAGAACAAATAGAAGTTATGACCCAATTGGGTTTAACAGACATCTATAGAACATTCCACCCAAATACAAAGGGATATACCTTCTTCTCGGCACCACATGGAACCTTCTCTAAAATTGACCACATAATAGGAAACATAGCAAATCTCCACAGATACAAAAAAATT